TGTATTAGGTCATGAAATGCCTCTTGTTAATTCTATAGAAGTTGGCAGTTGTTGACTTTATGGAAGTCAATAATTGTTGACTTATGGAAGTTAGCAGTTGAAAAGCCTAATCGTATAGGATCCACTAGGAAACCACATGTAATGGACTTAGAAAAAAACTTAACCCTAGGACGGCCAGCCTAGTAAATCACCTTCAAAGTCTAAGAACCTTATACATAGAACACATTCGGAGTATTTTATTTTTTAACAATGATTTTGTGTTTCTTAGGTGAGGAATTCGACCAAAAGGTATGACATTCATTAACTCTTCTTTTTCTTTTTAAAATAGGTAATGGATTATTTTACACATGGATTTTTTAGAAAAAAAAAAAAAGTAAGGGGAAAAAGATGAATTTAGAGTTAGAATGTCAACAAGTTACACAAGGATGGATTTTCTGTGCAGACCAAAAGACCTGGTGTAAAAGACTTGGTTGCTGCTTGGAATAATGTGAGTAATCTTGACAAAGTGAATTTTACTAGTTGAGAAAAAGCAAGTTCCTCAATAAAAGGAAGAAAAGATATGAGGGAGGCAATCTCCTCATTATTTTTCTTTTACTTAAAAAAAAAAAAAAATCTAAAAGATCATAAAGGGGGCAATCTCCTCATGTTTCTGGTTGGCGTGACAATTGCTTAGCTCTAATTTCTCACTCCCTTTACATACAAATGGTTGAAGTTGTTCATGACAATGAAGGATCCATGTGTGTTGAAAGATTGGTCCTAAAAAGAATTATCCAAGAGTTCGTTCACCTATTCTCACTAGAGCTCTTGCAAGGAAGATGGTTGACGAAGCTAATTTAGAGAAGGTCACTTTAGAAAATCGTGTTGAAAGTATGGAAAATACTTTGAAGGAATTGATGGCTTCCTTCCAATCTTTTCAAGCAACCTTAATCACAAGGGCACTTTTGACAACAAATCCCTTGTTTGAAGGAAATGTTTCAGTGGCAAATCTCCCTATCGCCATATCTACTCTTGGAAAGGAGCCAATGTCATCTTGCCCGCCAAATCCAACTATTGGTGGAGCTTTTGGGACAAAGCCATTTGTTCTAAATGCTGGTGTTGCTACAGTTCAGTCTAATGATCAAGAAGGGACTCAAGTTGTCAAGTCAATCACAGAGGATGAAGACAAGGCAATTAAAGCGAAGGTGTAGTTGATGGAGGAAACACTAAAATCGATGCAAGGTGTCCAAACCAATAAACCGGTTGACATCTCATCTTTGTGCTTTTTCCCAAACATTCAATTGCCCTACAAGTTTAAATTGCCTGAGTTTGATAAGTATGATGACACTGGTTGTCCTTATGCCCACTCGACGATGTATTGTGAATGATGGAATCAAGTCTAGAATTATCATGAATTATCAAGCAATGAAGAGTCTCCTTGAACAATACCAAAATGATAGTTCAGGGGTTTCTAGTTCAAAGAAAGTGGGCCAGAATCAAAAGAAGGAGAATGAGAATAGCACTATAAGTTCAGTTTATGAGGCGCATAATCAATCACAGGGGCAGTTCAACAATCGATTCCAAGCTCCAACTTATCAGTCAACGGCTTTTACAAGTCAATCAAGGCC